ACTGGAACTGAATGAATAGGAATCTCATTACATTACAGTTAGAATATAATAAGCTACGAAACGACAACTCTTTGCATGAGCTATATTGTAGATCAAGTCAAAATACCTAATATTTCAATATGTCAAGCAATATTCTAAATGATTGTTGGAATACCTGTCAATAAATAAACATTCTCTAATATAACGTAGCTTATTCTCCTTATTTAGAAATGTAAAAACTCTTTAGCTTACTTTTTTGATGTGTTCAACTATGTCAACCTAGGTAAGAATGCTTTTCAGCATTCTCATGTATTGTTTTCGTGTTTTTTTTTTTTTGTGACTCCGCCTTCCTTAAATTTTTGTGGATTTAACTTGCTCTGCTCCCCTCAGGTGATTTTATCAAGAAATTACAACTGTTTAGGAGAATTTCTTTTGTGTTACTTTTTGAGATATTCAGCTTTTTCTGCATTTTTTCTGCATTTTTTCTGCATTGCAGTCAATTTTAATTTCTTTCAAATTCTTTAAAAAATTTTGCCTTTTCAAACTTCAACAACTGCTGCATATGTTCAGCTACAAACACTATTCAACTTTTAAAATGATTTGAATTACCTAATATTGTTGAAGTCAGCTTTCTGATATATTTTACAGTTTGACTAAGATAGTGATTTATGTTTTATGTAAACTTTTTCCGCTTTTCAGTTTAATAGCGGAAGTCGGTGACATAATGTCCATGCATCTGGATTAGAGTAAATCAGAGAGGACAAACACACTTTTTTCGATTGCTTAAATTTTCTTATCTTTAGACAAATTATGTATCTAAATGTAGGATTTTTTGGTTGGAATCATAACATGGGACTGCTGTTTTGGGTACTGAAGAGACATCTGTTGTAAACATCTGTAGTAAGCTGAAAAAGCTCCAGACTTAAACGTTCCAAAATGACCACAATATTTCTATAATTGTTAGGGCCACATACATTTCTCTGTAAAATGTAAATTGCCAATTATTGTTCACCGAAACCTGGTAATAATAATTACTGTCCGAAAATTATTTTTGTATCTATTATACTTTTTTAAGTTATTTATCTAATTGGAGATGAAGTTTAGCCCATTTTACTTCACATTTCTGCTGGATTTAATTTTACATAGTGCTGTCTTTTGTGATATAAATCAAATCTGTCCTAATGTGTTGCTTCCCTATCTGTTCTAAAAAAACAAAACTAAAAAAACAGTCCATCTTTTTCCTGTATCCTCAATTTATTGAACTGTTACATGCCATTTTAACTTAAAATTACACATACTATGTTCTTCCACTAAATGTTGCTATAATTCAGTCTTTCCAGTTTCTTGAGCATCTTCTGGTCCTTTCATCATGCAGATTAGGAAAAGCTGCTTTTCTGAAACACATTTTTCCGGTTAGAAATTAGCTTTTTACAACTTCAAATGTAAATCGGTTCTGGCCATTCTTCAGGTATTTTGATTGCATTTATAATTGGCTGAAAGTTTGCACTCAATCGCTAAAAATAAATTCCTTTTTTTCTTGACAGTATAATGGGACTTCATCCCAATTAACATCTAATTGAAAGAACAACACTGGTTAAAATATCTTCATCAGAACATCGGTAGGAGTGTTTTGCTGGTGTGACAGAATCTGAGAAGCGTTGCCTGAACAAGGTGCTTGATTTAAATGTTTTTTGGGTCTTTAAACAAAAAAACAACATAGATTTGTATCTATCCTTTTGCATTTAAATAAGTTAAATATGTTTTACTGACTTTGGAAAATAACTTCTTTCCCAAGGATGTGGGGGCTTGTTTTTGCCATAAGGTCTAAGTAGCCTTCCTCAAGGTAAGAGTTTGAACAGCCTCTGACCTGAGTGAATGGGGACAGCAGAGATGCTAGCAGCCCCTTTTTAGCTCTAGTCTTTTACTGGTCTCAGATGCAGGTAAGATCAGTACATCGAGTACAAGTCATTCTCTCTTTGCAGTTTGGACCTGTGCTGTTTATGTATGATCCCAGCCACAGAGATAGGTGTGCACAAATCAGACTGAGTACTGGCAGATTCCCTTGGAAGGATGTACTTCCTGAGTTACTGCAGGAAATATAGGTAAAGTCTATGTGTGAGGACCACCTTAGGTAACTAGAGGGGTTGTTTCATTGGAACTGTGGAGTTAGTCTGCAGTCAACAGGGAGCTGTTGAGGATGATGAGGGATAGGAAATGTTAGTGATGTTCTCCGGAAGAGCACCATCATATCCACTCTTGTTAGGGTGTTTGGCATAAGGTGGCTCTGAGCACATTGTTGGACAAGCCACTTCACCTCCTGCCTGTGTAGAGATTTGTTTTGTATTTTTTTTTTGGTCTGACAAATGACTGTGGTGTCATTTGCAAGCTTCTGGAGTTTTGCAGATAGGGACACTGAGGACAGAAAATATTTAAAGTAAGGGATGAAAGGAATAGTTGAGGAAAATATTGAAAAGAGATATGAAAGGAAAGGAGGGAGGGAGGAGAAAAGTAAAAAAAATATATGGATAGGATTCATGGAAGGAAGGAAGTAATGAAGGAAAGATAGAATGAAGAAAGTAACAATAGTCGGCAGTCGACGGCAGTCAATAAGAATATTTTAAATTGAATTCCATACTTTTTCACATTGTGCATAAACCTTAAATAGCTTTTTGTTCCAATATTTCTCTGTCATCTGAGAGATGAGTCTTTTGGCATGCCTGGAGTGATCCAGTCTGTTCCATGTGTGAACCAATAGTTTATTTCACATCGCAGTTGGCAGTCTTTACCTTCTCTGTTATGGGATTTCTGTTCTTGAAAGATGACAGTTAAAAAGTGGTTTTAAACTTTGAATTCTTCCTCATTTTTTTACTCCTTTCCTCCCTCAGAATAAAGTCAGGTGTCATCAATGGATAAAAGACTGCAAACCATTTTCATTAGACCCCTGAGAGATGATAAACTCTTGATAAGACATACAGTACATTTTAATCAGTATATTTTCAACATTTTGATCACTCATTTCCCTTATCATAAATCATCCCTTCAATCTGTCGTACAGGTTGCACGTAGAGTAAAATTGTTGTAAGCTTCTTAAGTAAGCAGACTTTAGTGTGATCAATGATACGTTTAGTCCTTAGTTACTTTGATTAGCAATTCCTGGTGGGGTTTTTCTTTTTCTGTAATTTGTTGTTGAAGTGTAACTATTTTTAGTTTATGTCAAATAAATCTTGGTCCAAAGAAATATACTGAAATCTTTTTATTTTCTTTCTTTACAAGATAGAATAAGAACGCTCAGTGATAGAGGGAATGCATCCTTCAGTCTTCTGGTCATGCGACAGATTTTTTATTTACATTAATAAAGTCTACCTGAGCACTGTTACACTGCAGCCTGCACAACCTGTTCTTCCTGCTCCTAACTTTTACTGACTTTGCATACATTCCCTTAGTTAAAAAAAATAAAATAAAAAAAATCCAATTCGTAAGAAAACCTAAGTAGGTAAAAAACACATCACAAAAGTTTTATACATGTCTCACACCTTCATGGCCATCACTTTTACTAAGGCGGTGATGTGTATTGTGATAGCCAGTTTGTGCTTTTAGCTCTGCATTACGGTCAAGATTTCAGCTTTTTAGCCAATGTTTTTCATGATTGAAATTCTCAGTCAACCATCAATCTGCATTATAGACTGATTTCCTCTTGTCTGGTGGGGGCTAACTAAAACAGATTGAGACAGCTCTAGCTCGCTGCATCACTAATGGCTGGCAATGAAAGACGTCTCTGTGCAGTTGACCCGTATGTGGAACAGGATCACGTCGCAGCTCAGAGCGATGAAGAGAGCACAGCTCAATACAGGGAGTCTCTTCGGCATCAGTCACCAGTCAACAGCATCCTCATCTTATTGACTAAATGTTGCCCAGAAATAGAATCTAATCACAGGGTTTGGACAGGCTCTAGTTCTTCTAATGGTTTACCATTAGTTCCCTGGAACAAAGCCCAATGGTGTAAAGGGAAATATAACAATAGATTCTGAAGCTCTGTATTGCATGGCAATAATGGGCTCTCAATTATTGCCACAGTGCTGGCATATTTGCAGAGATCAGAAGACCTTTGCAGCAAAAAAAAAAATAAAAAAAAAAATGATTACCTGCTCACATCTGCTTTGAATCCTGCTCATTATATTCCATCCTACCAGTCTCGATTAACCTGTAAAGGCCACGGACAGCAGAAGCTAAAAATCTTTGGTAACAGACATTTCCCTCCGTTCTGCTATTGTTGAATGGATGATACAAGAGGAGCAGCCTGTAAGTGAAACAATTACCCAAGCATTTTTGCAAGCGGGGCCGAACAGAGTCATTACTTGTATGGCATAATTGACAGTGAACACAGGCAATCTTGTTAATTGATTACCCAGACCTCTGGTAATGGAAAATGCAAAGCCTCATTGTATCAGCAGCCTCTGCCCCTCTTACGATACTGCACAGGAGGGAGCATACAGACAATCTCTAATGATCCTACACACCCCACCTCTCATAGACCCCCCACCTCTCAA